TATTCTATATAATGAAGCATCATAATTAATATAATGATAAAAATTATAACTCTTTTATAATGCCACATTATATTTTTTTTGTCATATGATTTATGCTCATACATTTATTATTAACCCATCGTCGGCAACTAAACTATATCTTCATCTTACTCAATTTATTCTTTATTTGATAGTGGTGGTAGGAATATAGAGAGGGGAAAATTCAGAAGAATATCATGGTTCAATGGTGGTGTTGAGGGTGTTGAAAATGTTAAGTAGATGTGTACAGGGGAGGATAATATTAATGACAAAGGGTTCATAATTTGTTTAGAATATATATTTTTTGGTAGTCTATTTACGTAGAGAGCTCGTTTGGATTTACCACCATTGAAATGGAAGCAATGAAATTAGAACCTTTATTTTTAGAACCATAGTTATAATAGTAGTGACGGCCACATTAGATTAAGAATAAAATGTAGAAAATATGGGATTTAAAGAAATTTTACATAACTGTTTTTATGGATACCATTTAAAATTAAGTTTTATTATTTAAATAGTAAATCATAATATTCCCAAAGAGAATTTAAAACTAAAGCAAATAATGTGCTACAATAACATGGAGAACAAAAACACATTTAGGAACTTAACTTTTGTATAATCAATAACCATAGCTTGTAAATAAAATAACAATATAAACTTGCATTAGGTTTAATATTAAAAAAAAAAAACCAAAGCAAAAATATGGAGTAGCTTATTTCATAATTATAGAATAAATACTAGAAAAATTAATCAAACATTAATTACAATATAAGAATAGTCACATAAGCAACAACAAATTGAAAATATATATTAGAAGATAATAAACAAAACCATATGACTATAAATTTAAGGTGAACAATTCAAGAACTTAAACCTAATACAAATTTTTAAAAAATAACCTTGAAAAAGCGGGATCTATCATATGCTTTAACAAAAACCATTAAAGATAATAGAAATAAGTACTGAGGAAAATTACCCAAAAAAACCTTCTGAAAAGAGCTTTTGCAACACCTGAAAAAAAAAAAGTTAGGCAAATGAGATGAATAAACATATAATAAAAAAACCATACCATTGCTTATCTTCGCTGTTAGTAGGGTGTAAGACAGGTAAGAAAAGGTTATGAAGGGATTGTTTCCACATAAAGTATAAAAAACAAAAAAATTTAATTTTTTTTTTTAAAAAAAAAAAAAAAACACCTACCTCATATCCCCCTTTTTAGGAAACAATTACCTAATTAAATAATTTGTCAATTATTTATTTTTTTTTTTACAAAAATTTGTCAATTATTATGTTAAGAAAAGTACTATTCAACAACCAAAAAAAAAAAATGCGCCTCCTTTTCACATTAATGTCTCAATTTTCTTTTTGTTTTTTTTGAAGGAAGGACATAGGGCACTCAATTTTCATTCATAGAGGAATCCGAAATCAAAAAAGGAACAACACAATCTGGAAAATTACTAAATCAAAAGCGACAACTAGTGTCACATGGAAGGCAATGAGCCAACTCATGTGCAACCTTATTACCCTCTCTACAAATGAAACTCCATTCTATATACTCTAGCAAAGAACACACATGATAGATATCATCCAAAATAAGGTGAAAGCTGCTCCACCCCTTTTCTTGCGATCGAACTGCATTCACTAACTCCAAACAATCAGTCTCCACAACCAATCTTCGAAAGCCACCATCAACAGCCGCACGAAGCCCCAGCAACATAGCCTTTGCTTCAGCTATTAACGGCTCCCATCTGTCCTCAACGCGCCATTCAACCTCACCCTTGTCATTTCTCACAACAGCTCCAGCCATCGAACCAGCCCCTACTTTGACCCCTGCATCAATATTAAGCTTATGCAGCCCCACACTAGGAGCTTTCCACTTTTGTCTTGCTAACCTCCCACCTAACACCACCACATCATCCTTTTGGAGCTCTTTCATGAGTTTGGTGACATACTCCATGGCTCTATTCCGTTCACATGCTTCACCATCAAACACCCATTTGTTGCGTGCATTCCATATAGCCCAGCAGGGAGTAGCAAATAGACCATGGTCCTTACGAGGAATACGCTCCATACAAGTAAAAGCCCAATCCCCAAAGTCCCTAAATTGCCCACCAACATCATTACCAAGCGCACATGAATCCCAAATGAGCCTAGCGAAGACACAATCTTTCAAGCAATGCAGTTCCGATTCTAACTCCACCCCACAAATGCCGCAAGTCGCATCTCTCCCAGGTATTCTTTTGCTCAATCCCAAGGACGTAGAAAGAGACCCACGGCAAGCCCTCCAAAAGAAGACCTTAACCCTTGGTAGAGTGTTGATGCTCCACACCTTATGCCAAAGCTTGGAGTAACTCGAACCGGAAGCCAGGCTATCTTCTTCTTGCTCCCCAAAGATTGCTCTGTAGGCCGAATGCACAAAATACTCCCTGTTCTTCTCAAGATCCCAACACACCTCATCATCTGGAAGACGAAAGCTAAGAGGGATACACAAAATCCTCTCCCACTCGAAAGGTAAGAACACCTATTTGATCAGAGAAATGTTCCAAGTAGCAATAGGCAAGTGAATGAGATCACACACCCATAAATGCTCACGGTTTACAGCACATGGGGAAAGAATTTTTTGAGTTTGGGTACCTGGCACCCATGGGCAATCCCACACAGGAACTTGAATCCCATCCCCAATTCTCCATCGCATTCCACGTTGCAAGACCCACTTCACACCCCATACACCTCGCCAAGTGTAACTTGGAGTGTTACCAAGGTCCGACCCCAAATAATCACCATTGGGATAGTATCTTGCCTTCCAAATATTTAGCAATTAGAGTATCCGGATTTTTAACAAGCCGCCATGCTTGTTTACCAAGAAGGGCTGTGTTAAAGCTTTTAAAATCTCTAAAACCTAAGCCCCCCCCCCCGCCTTTGGCTCACACAACTTCTTCCATGCAATCCAATGAATTTTTCTTTCTCCATTCTTTTGTCCCCACCAAAAATTGGAGACCAACGATCGCAATTCATCACAAAAAGAGGAATGGAATTTGAAAACACTCATCGCATAGGTCTAAATAGATTTAGCAAATGCTTTAATCAGGACCTCCCGACCCGCCTTTGATAGAAACCCCCCTTTCCACCCTTGCAACCTCTTCCACAACTTTTCACGAACACCCTTAGTAATCACTCTCTTCGATCGTCCCACCACCGTGGGAAGACCAAGATACTTATCATGAATATCTACCATATTAACCCCCAACAAGTTTGCCAACTCTTCCCTCCTATCCACCGGAACCCCTTTACTAAATGACATTGTTGTTTTATCCAAATTCACCTTCTGACCCGAGGCTACCTCATAGATACGAAGAATCTCCTTAATAACCTCAACCTCCTCTGCATTAGCCCCCCAAAAAATAATACTATCATCAGCAAACAACAAATGAGAAATAATAGGTGCCGTTGGCGCCACCCTAATCTCGTGCAAACAACCACTCACCACAACTTTATTCAACAACCTTGACAGAGCTTCAGCACACAGAATAAATAAATATGGGAAAAGAGGATCACCTTGTCAAATACCCCTAGTCGGAATAAACTCCCCCGAAGGTGCTCCATTTATCAAGACCGCAAAAGAGACAGTTGAGACACAATGCATAACTCGGTCCACCCAACAATCTGCAAACCCCATTTTAATCATAATAGCTCTTAAAAAATTCCACTCCACCCTGTCATAAGCTTTCACCATATCAAGTTTTAAAGCCATTGAACCACTAGTACCGCTAGCATTTTTCATATGATGGAACATTTCAAACGCAACAAAAATATTATCCGTAATTAATCTCCCTGGAGTGAAGGCGCTCTGATTAATGGAAGTAATGTCGGAAAGAAATAATTTTAGACGATTAGCAAGTACCTTAGTGATCAATTTATACACCACATTACAAATACTAATAGGGCGATACTCTGTCATTTTATCCGGGGCTTTCTTTTTCGGAATCAAAACAATGAAGGTTTTATTAATGTCCCGGGGAATCACATCACCCCTAAGGACCCCTAACACCAGAGCAGTAACTGCAGGACCAACAATATGCCAATAAGTTTGAAAAAAGAGAGGGCACATACCATTCTGCCCCGGGGCCTTAATAGGGTGCATTTTCTTTAGAGCCACAAGAACCTCCTCTGCCGAATAGGTAGCACAAAGCTTAGCATTCATTTCATCAGAGACACGCCTATCTATTCCCATAAGAGCAGCCTCAAATTCTGTCGGGTGTAAGGTTTCAAAAATGTTACGGAAATAGTCCACCACCACCTTGCTTACACCCTCGACACTCGAGTGATCTATCCCATCATCGCCCACCAAGTGATTAATAACATTCTTCTGCCTTCGCTGTGATGCCTTCGCCCATCAAGTCTACATTGCACATTATCTCCCTCGCTCTTCCCATTATCATACGTATAGCCATACCCAAGTGCAGGGACATCACGTAAGCAACACTTCTCAAGAGCATCCCGGAAATTTTCCATTTGCCAAATGGCTCGGTCTCTACCTCACAACTTTTCCGACTCAAACAAAATCTCATTAAATTCCCCTATACACATTCAAGGACTATCATGTTGGCTAGCAAGATCAGTCATAAGCTTCCACAATAGATGACGATTGTGCACCTTGGGCCAACCATAAAAACCAGCGAGTCGCCAATCCACCTCTCCAACCCCCTTTTTAATTAGGACATCAACATGGTGAACCAACATTGATAATAAATCCACCTCCAACTCCTTTAACCACAACAAAGCCACTCCCCCCGATCTTCCACAACTATCCACTCCTACACCCTCATATCCCACTAATTTTGTGCGAATTTTAGCCATTTCACTCCAACTCAATTTCGTCTCCATTATAAATAATAAAGACGGGGCCTCCCTCCATACTAAGTTTCGGAGGTTATTAACTGCATAGGTATTACCTAGCCCCCTATAGTTAATGCTCAATATACTCATTGAGCTAGGCGGGGCTGTTTAAGCACAGCCTCCGCCACTCGCCATCCAGAGATATCATTCTCATCTACTGCTATTTTAGCCACACTCCCATCCCCACCGACATTCTCACCATCATCCCTTCCCCTTTTACCAAGTATCACACTTCCCTCCTCCCTCATGATTGTGTCATAAGTTTCTTTTAATCTTACTGATTTCTTCCACCCCTTACTCACCCTCTCCCCCTGCTCCCCCCCCAAACAAGTACTTAACACGGTCTCCCCCTCCTGCTCGCCCTCTATATTGTCGCTAAGTCTGACAGCACCCTCCTCCACGTTGTCCACTACTAAAGCACCCCCCAACTGCAGCACTCCCTGCCCCTCCTTGAGCTTAGTCAGCTCCCTTTCCTTCTCTAATTTTTCAGAACTCGCAACATCCCCCTTCACAACAAAGAGCTGCTTTCTAGCAGCCATGATCGCACTTAATTCCTCCTCCTCCTTTGATTTCCCCTTTCTCGGAGACGCCCTAAGCCATCTCCCCCGACCAAGTTTTGCGGCCTTACTCTCCTCGGACACCATATCACAATCTTTCTCCGAGTGCCCTATAACTCCGCAAGCGAAGCAAAAAAATGGCAATCGTTCATACGCAAATTCAACGCAAACAACCCTGCCTCTTTTGTCTCTAATACGCTGAAACCTTCGCAAAGGTTTATTAATATTAATCATCACCCTCGCTCTGCGGAAACGTTCCAACCCCAATAAATCTTCTTCTAGTTCCATCAAATCACCCAAATTTTCGACCAGCCCCTTAACATCTTGATCACTTCTGTAATTGAAAGGGAGGTTCTTGATGCGCACCCAGAATGGAGAGTGGTACAACAGTACCTTTTCTGGTTGCTCGTCCCCTTCGACTTCCTTGAGCACTATCAACTTGTTGTCAAAACACTACGGTCTACCATTCAAAATCTTCTCTTTATCCCTCCAATGGAAGAATTGGAAGGCAAAAAGATTAGGGCCAAGGATTTTAATCAATAATTTATTAGTTAATCCCCAAGCTTTTTTCATAGTATTCTTAAACGCCTCAACGTTGTACGGTCGGTCAGTTACCAATCGTCCAATCAAAAGAAGGTGAAATTTGTCCATTGCTGGGGATTCATGCGATCCCAATTCTACAATCTTGTCAGCCATAATTATGAAATAATCAAAGAATCGAGCCAAGAAACGGAAAAAGGAGCCGACGATATCGGCAGCCAAACCCTACTTTCTAGGGAGAGAACCCTGTCTTTCGAGGGAGAGATAATGTCTCAATTTTCTTTCTCACTTAAGCTAATTTCAAGACTAAAAAAAAGCCTATTCTCCCCCCTCATTTATAGTTCATCTTATACTCATTTTGTTTACAATATAAATCCTATCACATTTTTTGTTAAATTATATAATATTTAATTTATAAATGAGTTATTTTTTATTGTATATAGTCGTTGTTGTTATTGTTGTTGTTGCTGCTGCTGCTGTGGTGGTGGTGGTAAAAGTGAATGTATTTGAATTTAATTGATTAATAATTCCTCCATTTTTTTAATCAGAACGCTTCACCTTTTGCACTATTCACACAAAATTCTTTAATCTTATTTTGTAATTTGTACATTAAGAAAAATATAGTTATGTGTGATTGTAGGAATATTTAAAACATCAACTTTGAGCCCCATTGTGACCATGCATTTAAGTATGGTGGCTTCCAAAGGTAAAATAGCTAGAGAAAAAGAGTCGCCAATAACTTTAGGAACTTGTAAACTGTTCACAGGTGTAAAGGTTACACCCCATTCCTGGGCCCTTTTGTTCACCGAGCCGCTGCTGAGGCTTATGCACTCAATAGTAGCATGAAGTCCGCTTGCAGGTCATTTCTCGTAGAGGCTTTTCGTGACGATGCGACCACCTTGGAGCAAAATTTATCTTACTAGATTCCATATTGTATAATGAACTATTTCGATTTAATCATTTTTCAAGTTGATTAAAGTCATAAAGGTTCATACTTGTTGTTTCGGGGTTTTCTGATGTCCTGCGGGAGAGTTACAATTTTGAGACTGGAACCGGACGCCTGTACCCGCAAAATAACGGAGACTCCTGTGAGCTCCGCCTCCAACGGTCAAGTTAGTACCTGATTAAGGAGTAATTAATGCGGAAATTAAAGTGATTTGGTCTCTCTAGGTGAGAGTGTTTAATGTAGGTAATCTGCTTTGTTAGCGAGATCAGCCGGTTATTACTGTGTGTAATTAATGTGTTTTTTTCCGTAATGTTTCTGTTCTCTTTTTTGTAATCCCCCTTAATGAGGATTAAGGGAGGTATTTATAACCTTGGGAAACGTGCCCATCCTAGGTTTAGGTAAACCTAGGGCCGATTGGGCTTCCCTCGGAAGTTGGGCCTGGGTGGCCGGTTTCTCCATTAGGCATGGAGTATGCCACATGTCTTGACATAACAGGTCCAAGGTGGACGAATAAGCGCGTGCCACGTGGGAAGCCCTGGCTGTTCCAACTGGGGGACACTTGGCAGGACCTGATTGGTCCACGTGGCGCATTCCGATTGGTGGGAGCAAAATCCCCTAATCATTTGCCCCTCACAGGTGGCACGTGATTGGTCACGTGTTACCTGTGACAGGTGTCGCACTGTAACAGGCGACGGCCTGCTACAGGTGTCAGTCGGCGAAAGGACGAGAGATTTTCCCGCCCAAATTTTGAATTCTGAAAGTGACCCTTCGCCTTCTCACTTCGCCTATATAAGGGAGAGTTGTTTTGAGTCATTTTCACACTTTGAGAACTTTTTGAGAACATTCGGACCCCTGAACTTGCTCTGACATTTTGGACCCTTTCTGCCTACCGCCTGTTCTGACAAGCCGACTGCACCGGATTTCCAAAACTTCATCAACCGTCACTCGTTCAGGTAACTCAGTTCTCTTACTCTTAATTTTCTTTTTATTTTCTGAAATGGCACCACGGAAGCACACGACACGACCTAGGTTAGTGATCAGCCGGTCACCGGGGACGGCTGAATCTAGGACTAGGAGTGCCGCCTGCCCTTTTCCGGACCCATCTTTGCCCTTTATACAAAGTCCGATTGTATCTGTGTCTATGCAGAGCAGGATGGCCAGAACGAAAAAGACAGCTAGGATCTCAAATTCAGACGGCTCCTCCCACAGGGTGCCGCTTAGTGAAACATCTGACCAGGCGCCAGATGTGGAAGTGAAACAAGGCGGCCTGGATGCCGGCAATTCTGTGGGGGGGAGTCATAGTGACCCCTTCCCATTTAACAGTTAACAAATCTGCTCCTTTTCAAAGAGAGGAGGCGGGCCCCTCCGGGAGAGGGGAGGAGTCGTCCTCTTCAGAATCGTCGGAGGACGATTCCGAGTCAAGCTCTTCTGGCCATGCTTCTTTGGGTACAGAAGAGAAAAACAGCCGCCTGCAAGAGGCGAGACTTTCTCACGCAGTTGAGAAGGGGGACAATTGGGCAGAACCATCCGCCTCTTACCGAGAGCTAAATACCCCCTACTACTGCACGGTACCTCGGGGCCGAATCACAGCCATGCAAGAGAAAGTGGAGAGCTTTATTGCAAACCACACCATGGGCCCCGACTTTCTAGTGTTTGTGCCGGATCCAGAAGACACAGTCGTCTGGCCGGCTGGTTCCAGTTATGAAAGCGCCTGCTTTGGCTGCTACGAGGCGGCCATCAAGGCAGGGCTTCGCTTCCCATTACATCCGGCTGTTCAGCGGATTTTGGATGGGTATGAGTTGGGGTTATGGCAGTTAGCCCCAAACTCCTGGGTCAACGTACTCGGCTATGTGGCCGGGTGCGAACTGCACGGGGTGGAGCCGAGCTTCGAGGCTTTCGCCCATATGAACTATCTCAGCCAGACCCCTAAGACAGGCGGTACCGGCTGGTATCAATTGACAAGCCACAGGGGCTACCTCATGACAAGAGGTAAAGCAAACAAGTGGAAGGACTGGCGGAGCACCTTCCTCATCATTGAGAGTTCAGACATTGAGCAGAACAAGCGCTTCAATGGGTGGAACAGGAATCCGCCCCTTCTTGCAGGCGGCCGTAGCATGCCGCATGTTCCCCCCAAGGCTAAGAAAGAGATCCTTGATAAAGGACTCTTTAAAGTAGAGTCGAGGGTCGACTCTACTTCAGGGGTACGAGAGCAAGTACCCCTACACTGCGTCCCGAGCTTCAAGTGGCTCTATGACGAGTACTTTTTGTCCGCCTGCGGCCTCAGCAGTCGGTGCTCAAGAGGTAGTCGGCCTGTCGAATACTCTGTTGTTCCATACATTTGTTGTTTATCTTTTATTAACTTTGCTGTTTGTTTTTGCAGCTGACGCCATGAGCAAAATCACCGCCTCCAAGACTGCGGCGGCCATGTTGCGGGCCTCTATTATGCAACAAGCTTCAACCGACTCCCCCAAGAAGGGGGCACCCTTGGTGAGCTCCGAACCTTTCACCCTCTTTTTGGAGTGTTTATGCATATACTGACTTTTTTCTTCTTTTTTAGACGGGTGCTCCTAGAGCTTCATCTTCCCAACAGCCGGACCCCAAGGCCCGGAAGACGACTGTTGGGAGCTCTCCTTGTTCTGCCAGGAAACAAAGGGCGGATGAGAAACAGCCGGCCACTTCTTCTAAAACTCCAACTGGGCCGCCTAGAGGTATGAAGTTGTCCTTGTAAATTTTAGACTTTCTTCCTTTGTTACTAAGTCTAATCCGTTTGTTTATGATTGATGCAGCCGGCCCCCAGGAGCCTGACTTGGTAGAGATGGCCAAGTCTATGATCAGGGCAGTTCCTCCAGCTGAAAGGGAGGCGGTCAGGGGTGTCGGCACCCTTGACCTTGATGGGACTGCAGGGGTCCTTGCTGAGGTATAATTAGCATATTTTTGAGTATTTGAATTTCTGGACGCCTGTTTTCTTTTTGTTTGGAAACTGACGCCTGTTTTTTTTTTTTTGTAGGCCCTGCTCCGAGTTAACGGCCTTCGCAAGCCGCTTGATCGGAAGAACAAAGAGGTAAAGGCTGCAAAAGCTATGGCCGCCTCTGACTGTGATAAGGCAATGTTTCAAATTGCCCAAAATGAAGTACTGACCATTGATATTCTTTATTATCAGGCGCAGGCTACCGCCGCTGTTCGGGCTCAGTTAGAGGCGGCCCAGAAGAAGAATGACGAGCTGGAGGCGACCATCACAAATCTCAAGGCCGAGCTGAAACCTCTTCGCCTGAAAATGTACTCTTACGAAGCCATGGAGAAATCCTTGGCCAGCGTAAAGGAACGCCTGGTGACCCAGGAGAAGAGTCTTACCCAAGAGCTCTCGGAAAAGGCCGAGCAAGAGAAGAAAGAGCTGGTCCGGGAGATGATGGAAGACTCCGCTCAAATCCAGCGCATGACCTGGGGCCGCCTCTTCCCCAGTGCCGACTTTTCCTCTTGGGAAAGAACGTACCGCCAGTGTTCGGATACATATAATCAAGAGATCCTGGCGGCTGCTGAAGAAGAGGCGTTAGGGGAAGCGTTGGAGGAGGAGGAGCCAGTAGTGGCGCTTGTGCCGCTTGGGGGTAAGGCATCAAAAAAGGATGCAGCTGAAGCCGAGTCCAGCAAGAAGAGTGCTGACCAGGCGGCAGCTGCTAATACTGAACTGCCCCCTTCTTAAGCTTTATGTATTCTTTCCACGGCCTGCGTGCCGTTTGCTTTGTATTTACCCGGCCAGGGGGCCGGGGCTTTGAATATTTTGCTGGTCTTTAATGACCAGCTTATT